TGCTGAAAAACAACCTTTTCAATGATCTTTCCTAAAAATGGTAGGTTTGATATGGGCCTGTAGTTATTTATTACTGAGGTATCCAGATTAGGCTTTTTTTAAGAGAGGTTTAATAACTGTAGTTTTCAGGGCCATTGGAAAAAGGCCTGACTGAAGAGAACAGTTGACTATCTGTAGTATATCTGATGCTATGCAGTTAAAAACATCTTTAAAAAAGCTTGTAGGCAGAGTGTCAAGGCAGCAGGTATATATTTTGGAGGCCTGTAAATGGTTACTAATACTGCTTGACAGGAGGATCTCAACTGCAGTGCAACACATTCAAAAGACTCAAACTTCCCATATGACAACTGTTTGCACTGGTAAACATCCTTAAATAAAGTGGCTACTCCACCTCCTTTCCTAAGTTCTCTAACTGAGCTGATAAAATGGAAGTCTGGGGGGGCTGATTCAATAAGTACTGCTGCATTGTTGTTTTCATTTAACCAAGTTTCAGTTAAAAACATAAAATCAAGGTTTCTCTTGATAATAAAATCATTATTTAATAGTGACTTGCCAGCCAGAGATCTGATATTTAATAAAGCTAAGTTTTTGACATTGGCTCCATGGTGATTGTGGTGGTGGTGGGGAGGGTCGACGTTGGCTTCTTAGTGGTTGCGCCGGTGCTGGGGGGGGGGGACGTTGTCTCTTTGGTGGTTGTGGTGAAGGGCAGGAGGGGGGTTGTTGGATCCCTGACTGGGACAGGGACATCCTCTGAATGCCTTGGGTGATGTGGAGCAAAGGGTCAGGTGAAGGGGGAGAGATGCAGGCTGTCTGTCTCTGTGCCACGTACTTGTCCTTGGCTCTTATCTGTCCATTCTTGTTTTGGTATGGCATTCCAAGAGCATGATGTTGTCAGTCAGTGATGTTCAGATGAATCCCATCACGCTGAAAGCGATCCTTACAGTTCCAAAAGATGTTAAAATTGTCAATAAACTTTATCCCATGAGTGAAGCATGCCGATGTCAGCCATGTATTCAGGGCAAGGAGTCTGGTAAAAGACTCGATTCCTTTCCCCAGGGTTGGAATGGGGCCAGAAATTAACACATTTTGTGACTGACAGTCACTCAGTTTCTCCAGGAGCAGGGAAAAGTCTTTTTTCAGGATCTCAGAGCCAGTTTTTCCTCGTAGAATGTCAAAAGACCCAGCATGGATGATGATCCTCATGTTACTGGGGTGTGTAGAGAGAATCACTGGCAACAGCTCGGTTAGCTCCCTGACAGACGTGTCAGACACTGTTAGATTTTCAGTCTTTGCCATTCTTACATGCTTGATTATTGAGTCTCCGATCAGGATGGTATCTGGCTGATCAGGTGTGGTGTTAGCGATACTTCTCCTGGCCCTTGGCTTCTCAGGTGTGGAGTTACCATAGTTTTTTTCTGGCCCTGGGTCTAGCAGTGGTTTTGGGGCTATTGCTTGCATTTTGGATAGCCTTAATACCACAAGTGTGATTGGCCTGCCTGGGTTCAGTGTAGTTGGAATTGTCACACATTTTATTTGGAGCCAGTGCATCGTACCTGTTCTGTAGAGAGAGTTCAAGTGGAGGGGTGAGCGTCGGGGCTCTCTTGACTGATTTCCTGCTGGATTTGCCTTTGTGTCTAGTGACATCAGACCAAGTCCTAGCTGGAGTTGATGCTTTTGGTCCAGCACCAGTTGTGTGCCAGTAGGAAGGGTCGTTAGGGAAGGCCAGTTTGGGAGCCTATGCAGCTGATCCAGTGGTGTTAGGACATATCCATGGGATTGTGTCAGCCAAGTCAGCGATGGTATGCTCCACATTTGATGTATTTCCATATATAACAGTCTGTCCATCAGCACCTTGTATGTTAGCTGCCACAGAGTCAATGAATTGCTCACTCTCATGAATTTGTTGTAGCGTTTCATTCTTCTTTTGAAACTGCCTTATCGTCTCGGTTAGTCGCTCACACTCTGTGCAGCTCACAGATTTTGCCATCTTGTCCTTGTTCTTATCACAGGTTTCCAGTCACAGACACAGCAAAAGGCTTGCACTGTGCCTCAGCCCTGCTCACACAGTACTAAAGTGGTGAAAAAGAGGTGAAAATTTGGCAGTAGTCCTCTGTATCTTTCACAAATTAAAGTCCCAGTGCTTTATAAGTATCCAGGATCTACTTTCTGTAGCTTTTAGCAGGAAAAAAAACAAGTATATCCACAAAAGAATGTAAGCAAAGTGGAGCACAAGCAGCAGAGCGTCTGCACTGTAAGAAAGCAGGAGAGGAAGTTAAGGCATGTATAAATAAATTTCAGTCGTGTATAAATAAAGTTAAGTCGTGTATAAATAAAGTTCAGTTGTGTATAAATAAAAATTAGTTGTGTATAAATAAAGTTTAGTCGTGTATAGATAAAGTTAAGTCATGTATAAATAAAGTTTAGTTGTGTATAAGTAAAGTTTAGTCGTGTATAAATAAAATTTAGTTGTGCATAAATAAAATTAAGTTGTGTATAAATAAAATTTAGTTGTGCATAAATAAAATTAAGTCGTGTATAAATAAAATTTAGTTGTGCATAAATAAAATTAAGTCGTGTGTAAATAAAGTTAAGTCGTGTATAAATAAATTTCAGTCGTGTATAAAGTTTAGTCATGTGTAAATAAAGTTTAGTCATGTATAAATAAAGTTCAGTCGTGTATAAATAAAGTTCAGTTGTGTATAAATAAAAATTAGTTGTGTATAAATAAAATTTAGTCGTGTATAGATAAAGTTAAGTTGTGTATAAATAAAGTTTAGTCGTTTATAAATAAAGGTAAGTCGTGTATAAATTAAGTTTAGTTGTGTATAAATAAAGTTTAGTCATGTATAAGTAAAGTTTAGTTGTGTATAAATAAAGTTTAGTTTTGTATAAATAAAGTTTAGTTGTGTATAAAGTTTTGTCATTTATAAAGTTAAGTCGTGTATAAATAAAAATTAGTCGTGTATAAATAAAGTTTAGTCGTGTATAAATAAATTTCAGTCGTGTATAAATAAAGTTTAGTCGTTTATAAAGTTTAGTCGTTTATAAATAAAGTTAAGTCGTGTATAAATAAAGTTTAGTCGTGTATAAATGAAGTTCAGTTGTGTATAAATAAAGTTCAGTTGTGTATAAATAAAAATTAGTTGTGTATAAATAAAGTTTAGTCGTGTATAGATAAAGTTAAGTTGTGTTTAAATAAAGTTTAGTCGTTTAGAAAGTTTAGTTGTTTATAAAGTTAAGTCGTGTATAAATAAATTTTAGTCGTTTATAAAGTTCAGTCGTTTATAAATAAAGTTTAGTCATGTATAAGTAAAGTTTAGTCGTGTATAAATAAAGTTTAGTTTTGTATAAATAAAGTTTAGTCGTGTATAAATAGAGTTTTGTCGTTTATAAAGTTGTTGTGTATAAACAAAAATTAGTCGTGTGTAAATAAAGTTTAGTTGTGTATAAATAAATTTCAGTCGTGTATAAATAAAGTTTAGTCGTGTATAAATAAAGTTAAGTCGTGTATAAATAAAGTTTTGTCGTTTATAAAGTTGTCGTGTATAAATAAAAATTAGTCGTGTATAAATAAAGTTTAGTCGTGTATAAATAAATTTCAGTCGTGTATAAATAAAGTTTAGTCATTTATAAAGTTTAGTCGTTTATAAATAAAGTTAAGTCGTGTATAAATAAAGTTTAGTCGTGTATAAATGAAGTTCAGTTGTGTATAAATAAAGTTCAGTTGTGTATAAATAAAAATTAGTTGTGTATAAATAAAGTTTAGTCGTGTATAGATAAAGTTAAGTTGTGTTTAAATAAAGTTTAGTCGTTTAGAAAGTTTAGTTGTTTATAAAGTTAAGTCGTGTATAAATAAATTTTAGTCGTTTATAAAGTTCAGTCGTTTATAAATAAAGTTTAGTCATGTATAAGTAAAGTTTAGTCGTGTATAAATAAAGTTTAGTTTTGTATAAATAAAGTTTAGTCGTGTATAAATAGAGTTTTGTCGTTTATAAAGTTGTTGTGTATAAATAAAAATTAGTCGTGTGTAAATAAAGTTTAGTTGTGTATAAATAAATTTCAGTCGTGTATAAATAAAGTTTAGTCGTGTATAAATAAAGTTAAGTCGTGTATAAAGTTTAGTCGTGTATAAGTAAAGTTTAGTCGTGTATAAATAAAGTTTAGTTGTGTATAAATAAATTTCAGTCGTGTATAAATAAAGTTTAGTCATGTATAAATAAAGTTAAGTCGTGTATAAATAAAAATTAGTGGTGTATAAATAACGTTAAGTCATGTATAAATAAAAATTAGTCGTGTATAAATAAAGTTTAGTCGTGTATAAATAAAGTTAAGTCGTGTATAAATAAAGTTTAGTTGTGTATAAATAAATTTCAGTCGTGTATAAATAAAGTTTAGTCATGTATAAATAAAATTAAGTCATGTATAAATAAAAATTAGTTGTGTATAAATAAAGTTAAGTCGTGTATAAATAAAAATTAGTCGTGGATAAATAAAGTTAAGTCGTGTATAAATAAAAATTAGTCGTGTATAAATAAAGTTTAGTGATGTATAAATAAAATTTAGTCGTGTATAAATAAATTTCAGTCGTGTATAAAGTTTAGTCATGTATAAATAAAGTTAAGTCGTGTATAAATAAATGTCAGTCGTGTATAAATAAAGTTAAGTCGTGTATAAATAAAGATTTTCTGCCCCCCCCCCCAGTGGTAGTGTACTTTGGCGGGCGTCGGGACGGCGAGAGCTGGAACTGGGCGTGGCTGATCAGCACCCGTCTGGCCCGTCACATCGGGTATCTGGAGCTGCTGCTGAGGCTGATGTTTGTGAACCCGCCGGAGCTGCCTGAGCAGAGTACCCGAGCTCTGCCTGTCAGGTAAACACGCCTGGCAGGACAAATTCTGGGCTTAAAAACACAGCGATCAGGATCAGCTGTTTGTCTTTACAAATGAAGTTGATTCAAATGTTATATCCTCCGGAGAGAACAGACGATGCGTTTTCATCATCAGTGGATGTGATGTCACCTCCCCGCAGGTTCCTGTTTACAGATTACAACCGGCTGTCGAGCGTCGGTGGAGAGACGTCGATGGCAGAGATGATCGCCACGTTGTCCGATGCCTGCGAGAGAGAGTTTGGCTTCCTTGCCACACGCCTGTTCAGAGTGTTCAAGACCGAGGAGACGCAAGGTGACACACACACACACACACACACACACACACACACATTCACACAGCAGCTGAACTTCCTCTGTGATGTCAGGTAAGAGGAAGTGGAAGAAGACGTGCTGCGTCCCGTCCTTCATCCTGTTCGTCTTCGTGCTGGCGTGCCTGCTGAGCGGCATGGCGCTGCTGGCCGTCTTTAAGGTGGACGGGGAGAACCGGACGGTGAACGGCGTGCTGGTGGCCATCGGCAGCGTGGTAGGTCTGGCTCTGCTGCTGAACTGCAGGACGTGGTGGCAGGTGACCGACTCAGTGCTCAACTCTCAGAGGAAGAGGCTCCACAGCGCCGCCAACAGGATGCACAAGCTGAAGAGCGAGGGCTTCATGAAGGTCTGTGACATCATTACGTCTGTCTCTGTGTCGCCTGCAGTTTGATGGCGGCTCGTAACACTGACTTCCTGTCAGAATCGAAAACACATATGTTTCTACACACATGACCTGCAGGTGCTGAAGACTGAGGTGGAGCTGATGGCGAGGATGGCGAAGACCATCGACGGCTTCACGCAGCATCAGACGAGGCTGGCGGTCGTCATCGACGGGCTGGACTCCTGCGAACAGGACAAAGTTCTGCAGATGCTCGACACGGTGAGACACTGATCCATCTGTGGCTGTTTGGTGATGACATCATCGTACTCAGAATCAATGAACATCAAATCATCAAAATATATTTCCTGTTTCTCACATACACACACACACACACACACTCACCCGGCGGTTGAGCATCGTCTTGCTTCCAAACTTGGTTAGTTCTCCCAGACTGTGCTGAGATGGTCATCATTGTTACCTGTGTTTTTGTCTTGCAGGTGCGGGTGTTGTTCTCTAAAGGCCCCTTCATCTCCATCTTTGCCAGCGACCCTCACATCATCATCAAGGCCATCAACCAGAACCTGAACAGTGTCCTCAGAGACTCCAACATCAATGGACACGACTACATGAGGAACATCGTTCACTTGCCGGTCTTCCTCAACAGCAGAGGACTGTCCAGCGCCAGGAAGATGTGCGCTGCTGCACCGGCCAACGGGGACACCACCAACACTGAGGGTAACCATGACGATACTCACTACACACAGTGTGTGTGTGTTGATGTGTGACCCGCTGTGAGATGGGGTGTGTGACTGTAGTGTTTGTGTCCTGTCAGCAGGGTGGCACGAGGAGCTGGACAGGAAGCTGTCTCAGCACAGTCTGGGAGAACTAACCAAGTTTGGAAGCAAGACAACGCTCAACCGGCGGGTGAGTGTGTGTGTGTGTGTGTGTGTGGGTGGGTGGGTGGTGTGTAACGCAGCAGCTTGTTTATATCAACCAATCAATGACTGACTGATGAGGTCATGTGACCTCCACTGTGATCATATGACCTCTGCTGTGATCATGTGACCTGTGTGTTCAGGACACGTACCGGCGGCGGCAGGTGCAGCGCTCAGTGACTCGTCAGATGTCGTTTGACCTGACAAAGCTGATGGTGACGGAGGATTGGTTCAATGACATCAGCCCACAGACAATGAGGAGGCTGCTCAACATTGTTTCCGTCACAGGTCACACAGAGACAACACAAACAAACAAACAAACAGAACAGGATCACACTGTTGATAAAATACTCAGAGCTGATAAAGTCTGGTTGAAGTGTGAAAGCTCACCTGAGCAGCATCGTCACCTCATCATCACACCTGGTTTTATCTTTGCACACAGGTCGTCTGCTGCGAGCCAATCAGATCAGCTTTAACTGGGACCGCCTGGCGTCATGGATCAACTTGACGGAGCAGTGGCCCTACAGGACATCCTGGATCATCCTGTACCTGGAGGAGACTGATGGAGTCCCCGACCAGGCCACGCTCAAGACAATTTACGAGAGGTCAGAGGTCACAGCTGCCATCATTTACAGAGAAACAGCTGATTTAATGATTTATTGACACCAAACCTGATGATGTCATTACCCTGAAACAAGTCATGTGACCTGACTGAGGACAAGTGAGCCCTCAGCAGCAGTCAGATGTCACAGTTTCTTCTTCTGCTGTCAGAGTGTCGAAGAACATCCCCACCACCAAAGACGTGGAGCCTCTGCTGGAGATCGACGGAGATGTTCGGAGCTTCGAGGTCTTCCTCTCCTCACGGACGCCATTCCTTACAGCCAGAGACATCCGGACCTTCCTGCCCTGCACCGTCAACCTGGACCCCAAACTGAGGGAGATCATTGCAGGTAACATTACCGCGAGGAATACTTGTGATAATACTACAGGCAGTGCTGTCACTTACTCTGCTTCAGACTGATGCAGGTCGGTATGATCGCCGGTAACGTGACTAATAAAACTATGACTGCTTTTTGATCCAGACGTTCGTGCTGCCCGGGAGCAGATGAATATGGGCGGGGACACGTATCCATCCATCCCCCTGCAGGAGACACAGGCTCGCCCCACCTCGGTGTACAGTCAGGTGTCGTCAGCGTGCTCGCCGTCCGCCTCCTTCAGCGGGCCCTTCAACCAGCCGGCAGGGGGCGTGGTCTCCCCGCAGCCTCACAGCAGCTACTACAGCGGCTTGGCTGGACCACAGCACCCCTTCTACAACAGGGTGAGTAAAGGCCTCGCCCACTCCCGATGATGTCATAGTGACAGGTGTGGGCTCAACTGCAGTTCTGAGGTTGTGACTTGTCGTCGACTCACCTGATTGGTTGAGTGGAAGGTAAAGTTGTGATGTCACAGTTTCTCTCCTGTGTTTTACACACTGAGTCTCTGCTGTCGCCTCCGGAGTCTGATCACTGACTCAGTTCAATTCAAAACACTTTATTTGTCCCCGAGGGGCAATTAAAAGGCACACAGCGTAGCACAACAACACATACAGACAATTGACAGGACAACATAGACAATAAAAAGGATGCTACATGATATGCATGATCAATGATCCCCGATTGGTGATGATGTCATCAGTACTGAAGCGTCTGTCGTACCAGCTGTTCTCTGACTCCCTGTCGTGTCAGCAGAGATTCACTGTTTGTTATTTTTTTTATTTACTTCCTGTTTTGACATCGAATCATCTCCATGATGATTATTTTGATTTTCTGCCCCTCCCCCCTTCAGCCATATTTCCCCCATCACCTTTACCAACTGCCACGCCCACTCATGGCCTCCACCTACCCATCACACCTCCACCCACGCCCTCCACCCAAACACTCCTTCAGCCGGGACGCCTCAGCTGCACCTGTGAGTACGACACACACCTGAAACATCGAGTCTCTGAGCTGACTCTGTCTCTCAGTATCAGTCAGTCCAGTTATTTCCCATCATCCCCTGCTGTCAGTTTCTGGTTTTCTTTCTTCTTCTGCTGGTGATAGCACTGGACTCCACCCTCCGCTGCTCCTCTCTTCTTCTGTGGTTTGTGGAGCTGTGCAGTTTGGAAACTTGTTTTAAATCAGTTTTATTCTTCTGATTCTCTGAAACTGAAAAACAAAAATCATTTCCACTGTTCTGTCAGTCATCTGTCTCCAGGTGTCTCATTCCTCACCTGTCTGTCTGTCTGTCTGTCTGTCTGTCTGCAGTATAAGGTTTCATCTTTGAAAAGGAAGCAGGTATTGACCTCTCCCTAACTCCTTCCTTCCTTCCTTCCCTCCTTCCTTCCTTCCTTCCTTCCTTCCCTCCCTCTGTCAGCTCCAACATTAACTCCCTCTGCCTTCAAGGTTTGGGCGGTATCTGTGTTTTCAAACCCTCCTGGAATTTCACTGGTGTTTACAGAGTATGATGCTGTGCGGCACTGCCTGCCTCTCTGCCAACAGGCGACTTCATTACGTTCATCAGCCTCAGTTTGAATCTTCAGTCTAATAAATAAACTCACAGCATGTGCAGAGAGGAGAAACACTGACACCTGTGTTCCTTTCAAAATACAACCAAACACTCTTAAAGTTTCTCTCTTTAATCAAACTAAAACTAACGTTAGTTTCATAGACTTTAGACTTTATTGTCCCAAGAGGGGAAATTCTTTTCCACAGCACCACAGCAGTTTGACCGACATGCAGAACAGAACAGACATCATCGCACATACACATACGCACATTGCACAGGACATTTGGACAGAGACAGAAACAACTTTACAAACTACCTCAGTTTCTTGCAGGATCTATTGTTCAATGCCGCTATTGCTGACAGGATTAGGCTTCTGGATAGAAGAGCCTTCCTGCAGCGCATTGTCCTGTATCTATGTCCGGAGGGTAGCGGGATGAGGTGGTGGTTGAGTGGGTGGGTAGTGTCCTGTTCTGTTGCGACTGCGATGCGTGCAATGGCCCATGATGTGTGAACTCATCGTAAACACACTTCATTCAAACTCATCAGAAACTAAATCAAACTGTCTTCATCAGTCTCGTTAGCTGTTTGGTTCACTCTTCATCACACTGTGATGTGATAATCAGCTGTTTCCCATCTGCTGCTGCAGGTCAGCTGTTTACAGTTCTGTAATGTTTTCAACACACCTACAGTCAGCTCAGCAGCCTGATGCACCACACTGACCTCTGGTGGCTCCTGATGTTCACTATACACAGTTTATCTTCAGCACAGCCTCACTGTGGGAGGTTCTTGTAAAGAGGAGCGTCATCATCATCATCTGAATACTCTGACACTCTGTAACACTGTGATACCGCCCAAGCCTGCTGCCTACTACACCTCCCAGCATGCACCTTGCCTGGACGAGCCCCTAGCTTCAATAGAGTAGTCTGGATCATGTCTGATAATACATGAGCTCCTGAACCAATAACTGATCAATATTCTGAGATAAAGCTGATGTTTGAAGCTGCTCAGAACATCAGTGTTTCAGAATAGATACAGTCTGAATACTGATCGACAGATATAAACAACAATCTGATGATCAGCAAACCTGTCGGTGTTTGTGACGGACGACTTCCGGTCAGTAAACGTTGAGGTTTAACACACAGCAGCTGTTTCTGTGTCAGAGTTCATCATCTGGTCACAATCATCAGCTGATGTGTTCAGGTGAGGAGAGGAGAGGTGAAGAGAGGAGAGGAGAGAAGAGGTGACTGAGGAGAGGAGAGGAGAGGTTACTGAGGAGAGGAGAGGAGAGGAGAGGTTACTGAGGAGAGGTGAAGAGAGGTGACTGAGGAGAGGTGACTAAGGAGAGGTGAAGAGAGGAGAGGAGAGGTGACTGAGGAGAGGAGAGGTGAGGAGAGGTGACTGAGGAGAGG